AGAGAGAGAGAGAGAGAGAGAGAGAGAGAGAGAGAGAGAGAGAAGGGGAAATGAGGAGGAGTGAGCAGAGGGAGAGCAGAGTAAGAATATTCTCCGTAATTAAGTCTCGTCGCTTCCTTGACTCAATGCGGCGCGACGCGACGACGATGCGAATCGGCGTTGAGGAGAATAAGAAAGAGAAAGATAGGAAGAAAGGGCGAGAGGACAGAAGAGAACTATAAAAGGATAGCCAGAAGAAGAAACGGTGCAAAGAAAAAAGTAACGGGAGAGTGCGAGAGAGTACGAGAGAAGGAGGGAGGGGCAGAAAAAGAGAGAAAGAGAGAGAGGAAGGAGGGAGAGGGGGAAAGAGAGAGAGAGAGAGAGAAAGAGATGGAAAAGGAGGTACAACGACGATCGAGCGATAAATAATACAGGGGAAAAAGCGAGCGATCGCGGCTGCAACATTCTGCTCAAATGTTAAATAGGTATCAATTTAACAAGCGGACCAATGCGCGCGCCCGTGGGCGTATAACGCCACGGTCGGATTGGTCGAACGGCGAACTGTGGGCAGGTTTTGAGGGCGTCTAGACGCTATGTGAATCGCTGGTTCTCATCGCAACGCGCCGCGCTCTACCGCGTTGAGTAGTTAGGTAGGGATGAACCACCTGGTTTCTTCGCCCGATACTTTCATACACGTCCCCGCCGTCTTTCTCGACGCGACCGATTCGGGATTCACGCACTAGCTGGTGGTGCTCAGATTAGTTAGTTGGTGAAACGTCGAGTCTCGCCGAACGCCGGAGAATGCGGGTTCCCGTTTGTCTACAAATGAATTCTACGGAAATTGATTTTTGAAGACTGGTGGAATTGGTGCGATCGCGTGAGCGAACAAGCAACCTGTTACGTTTTGCATGAGGTGCGAAATTTCCCTATCGTGCGCGCGTTTCTGCCCAGTGTTCTCAAGAAACCACCGGCTTTTGACTTCAGCACAACTGAAATCTACTGTGAACAATAGAGTTTAGTGTGATCGGAATAGATCTCCTCGAGTATAGGAGAAGTTTTTTCGATAGAAGTTTAAGACAATTAGAGTGAAATGGTGATACATGTTTAATCCTTGAAAGAGTAGAGAAAACAATTTTGTTTTCGTTCAAGATGACAAGACCAACCTTAAGAGACGTTTGTTTGCCTATAGTCTTAACGTGTCGTGTAGAACAGCTACACAAATCGAGGGTGTAAATTCTCTACTAAAAGTTCGTTTCTGCAGACAAAATTGGTTTGACAAAATTTGCATCATAATAAGTAGAACTGTTGTTTCTATGGTAAAAGAAACCAATGACCGATTGAACCATTGAACAAAAGTGATAGAATTCACGTCAAAAAGTTGTTCGTCCGAAGGTGTTGCATAAATTCGTAAGGTATACAGCAAAAGAATGGACATTTGGTATGATCCTTCTCCGAGATAAAAATGATACCAGTTGTGGTATACGCACATAGGAACAAAATGGCCGCCGTCCAACGGAAAATTTATGAGGTGGTCGGTATGATAGCTAGGATCGAGTCGGTTGTGCAACAAATCTAGACACTCGTAATATTGAACCTGAATTTGTCACGTTAAGGAGTGATCCGCGCAACCTAGTTTTTGATAAAACTTCTCCATTTCGATTGATGTTCCTCTGTTCGGTTTAAATGTACCGTTCGCAATGTCACTCTGCGAATTATCAATAAGGATATCCGCTATCTGAAACGCATTGTTACGCGGAAGTCAATCTCAAGCAGCGAGTTCTTGCGAGGAAAAGGTGGAGGTGAAGATTAGATAAGGTACACTATGTCGGAGCACGGCGACAGCGATGTAGACGCGACGGAGGAGATCAACGTGGACGATTCCGACTCCCAAAGTTGTAGTCCGCGAAATTACACGAGCCATGATGGCGTTGACCGTCACCACATGTCTCAGGAAACCTCCGAGTGCTCCACTTCGCCACCTCCCAGTCAAACCGCGAGTACGAGAACGCTACCGAATGATTCTCCTCGTAGCCATCCGTTCAGCATAAGTCGTTTACTGGGTGAGAGCGGTGTTCAAAGTCTCAAAAGCCCATCGCCTTCGGAAGAGCCAGATAGTGACAGAGAGAGAAAGTGGTCCTGGGAAGAAGGCAACAATAACAATAACAACCGGACGTCCTCGAGTGGCGTTGCGGATGACGGCAGGCGATCTTGGGGAGACCACGACGTCGAAGAGAAGCTATCGGAAAGGGATGATGACGATACTGGCGGCAGCACACCCGACACCCAGCGTGCCAACTCCTCCTCGTCGTCCTCCGTTCACTGCGCCTCAGCGACGGCGACGGCGGCGGCGGCGGCAGCGGCAGCGGCAGATCTTCTCGCCCCCTTCAGACTCTTCCCTACCGGTACTACCGCTGGTCTCATCTACACTGGCGGCGGTGTTATACGGGTACCGGCTCACAGACCACCACCAAATGGCGCGCCGACCGGCAGTGCCTTGACACAAGCTGCGCTCATGTCTGCACCCTGGAGTCTGCAAGCTCTTCAACACAGCCAGCAGCAACAGCAGCAGCAAGCGGCGGCGGCGGCCGGTCTGCACAGGGCGAGCCTTTTAGCGAACCTCGCCGCACATCCACTGCAAGCGCATCCGCATCTCAAGGACAGACTAGCAGGTAGACACTCATCTGTCTATCTTAATCAATTAATTGAAATCGTCAAATTTGGGTGTTGCATTCAAGTAAAGCGCAGATATAATGAAATTGGAATATTTTGCCCCGTTACATCTTGAACATGAATTTGTAATTATGAAGTCGTGGTATACATTATTGATCTTAGTACAGTCAACAATATGTTTTCGCTGTCCACTTCGCTTTTTCTGTACTCACAAAAAGACCTTAGATTTTTATCTAAAGCGAAACGTAAAGTGACTTTATTTTAATAAAGTCTTTTGTTTTCACAATTACATATAATGTATTATTACGTTGGGCTCCGTCAATTTATCACAAGAGAGAGAGCAAAAAATATTTAAAAATAAAAGTTAATTTTAATATAATCGAACAAAGCAAAGTGTCTTTATTGACTCTCAGGATAATTAACTCTGGATAATTTAAAAATAAATCAGTCGCTGGATGGCTTGAAAATAAGTCGGATTTAACCAATATCTAATAAGAGCAACATATCCGTAGTTATTTAAATACTGCATCACCTTAAATATACAATTCACGTAATTATCCTTCAGCTTACGAAAGCTGGAAAAAAGCACATTACCTATTGAGTATTGCCTGAAATATTAATTACTCGTCCTTCTCGTCATCGCGCATCATTACTGGAGCATTTCTCTGCTGCGAGATAACGATCGTACATGAAAAGTACATGTTCCATGTAAGACGATTGGATTATACGTGTCTCCGCATACTACTTAACGCTAACACGATGCAGGAGGAACAGATGATTCATGCAATTAGCGAGAGAGATTGTCAGATATTATTAATTCCGCGTTATACCGGCGAAGATTGGAGCGACGACCGAGCGCTACGGCCGTTCGTTCGCTCGATAGAATCGAGTGACGAAATATAAAGCGAGCGTCGACGAGAGATATTCTCCTGATGTAGGTTGGTGTCGACGATCCTACCAATATCACTGTCTCTAATTGGGATAGGCACATCTTTAGCACGACGACGCCGATGATAATAGCAACCGAAACGTAGGGGTGTTAATGTCTCTGTCTAGAAAATTCTCAGATAATTATGTCGATTGAAGATAATGCTATCGGCATAAGCAGGATGATTTCTTTATCCAGGTATCTGTGGGTATCTGTGTTGTCTAGTCAAGTTCCACTCAAGTAATAAGCCAGGAAGTAATAAGCCGCAACCATCTGTTATTGATTTGTCTATTGTTTTTCTAAGGTACTATGTACAACAACTGATAAAAGAGTTTTAAAAGTGTCGCTTCATATATTGCTCAAAGCTAAAAACGCCTTAATGAAATCTAGTATGGTTAGAATGTTCTCAAACAATAAAAAAAATCTGCAAAGTACATAGTAAGTAATAGATAATTGCGAGTAAGTGATAGATAATTGAACTACACGCGTAGACCTTACGAGGACTATAGCGAGGACTGTGCGGATTATACGTATTGTGATGATAGTGAATTTTGTGAACTTTGAGAAGATTCGAAATTTGAAATATACGTTAAAAACTTTTGAAATACTTGAGATACTCGAGACTTTGATGAATTTCCGATTTCGAATAGTAATCGAGACGAGTCAAGATTTACGTCATACATTTGAAATAATTTCGGTGTACCTTGAGCTCGTCACTAGACGTGGATTTCTGTCTTGATGTCATCATTACTGCGTTTTGCGACTACCGCAACGCCGCTGCTAACCGTATATAGTAGAGGATTATCAATAATGTATTAGGAGCGAATTATTCACTCGTGCCGTCGTCGCGCAATCAGACCTGCACGTACGAAATCGTCGAAGACGGCGAGTGACACTTTAATGGTGTGCGGACAAGTCGAAGTCGTCACGTTACATTAGCTCGCCAGCGCCGTCCGTTCGATAACCCTTTTTGTTCTCTTAGACTTAGAAGCACGGTTTCTCGCCCTCTCTCTCTGTCTTCATTAAGAATATGCGATGAACGTCAGATATATTTTAATATCGTGTAAATGTCTAATTACTAGGCATGTTCGAGTTGGACGCATCATAAAGTAGAGCGCGCAAAGAACAAAGTAGCTCGGGAATGTGTAAAAAGTTTGTAGACAAGTTGTTTGTAAATTCGTTTCTGGACACATCGTTCATAAATATTCATTCTACTGACCAGCGTCTGCGCGCGCGTTTGACTTCATCCCGTATGTTTCCTCGAGATAATTTATAAAAGCAATTTGGACACCATATCTGCCTCTCTTGGAAGGTATAATTTTAATTTGCTTTAATCGGGAGAAAAATATAAGTATGGAAAATATTGCTGTTGCGAGGGATCATTACGGGACGCGGTCATCATTGCACGCGGGAAAAAGGATGTAGAGGCAAAACGTTAAAATACAGGTACGTGCAAAATACATAATTAGCGTCCGCGTACTGCTGCATTCCCAAAGAGCCAAGACTTTTTCGTGCGGGTAATGAAAGAGGCTATTATTCGCGTGGCGTGAGTGAAAAGTATTTATGCGTACGAGCAATATTACTCTTTGCGATTATTTTGTTCGAAGTACGCTTAATGCCCCAAAAAGAAGAGCGCCGACACGCTATAGCGCAATGAAACAAAGTAATCGTTAAAATAACCGACAATTCTCGATATAACATTAATCCGTGCGGCAAATGTCGATTGTAACATATTAAGGATGTCTTTTACATGTCATGCACTTTCCCTTAAATGTGGACATCTGAAAACTAATGGACGTAATATTTAAAATTTCAATTAAATGGTTGTCGAAGAATACGACACTCTGTTAATTAGTATTATTAGTATTATTAAGAAGATACACAGGCGTTTTCTAAAATGCGCCTTAAGAAATTACAATGAAGAGAATACCTAGGTGTGTGATGAATGTATTTTATAATGCATAATGCGAGTTAATTATTTTTTTTTCTGTAGCAATTGTTCTTTCTGTAGCAAGGAGGAAAAAAGATCATGTTAACACGTAAAACATTGTAATTAACATAACGTTTACTTTGCATAATTAAAACGCACGCAACTATTTTCAATGCGATCGTCGAATGAACGAACGAGACGAAAATGCAAATCGTGTTTGCTGCTATTTATTCAACATATCACGGCAATTGGATCGGCCATCGCGTGGCATTAGTCGTATCGATCGCACGACGCACTATCCGACAGCAATTTATATTCGCGTGAAATATATAAAAGCGTAACGATGCGTTCTGCTTGACGAGCTTGGGTGGTAACCACCGTTATTTGTTTTGCATCTCTTTTGCTTCGATTATATAATACACACATGCCACCACCTGCCATCTTTGACGTCGTTGTGACATGCGGTATATTCGATTAGAGCCGTGGGTACCGACTCAACCGGAAACGACACTACCGTATTACGAAGACGACTTCATTTTATGCATAATTATTTCTATTTCGTCTATGTTTTCATTCTTTTCAAATTACTTTTTACATCACTACTTTCACACTTTTGAAGGCAACCCCATCGATCATCGAGATAAAAATCACCCTCTTTAAATCGCTTTAACCAAGAATTACATGTGTTACATGATACGAGATCGCTGGAAAAAAAACAAATCGATTCACACGCTTTCGCAGCATATGTCCCCCGTTGGAATTAAATGCAGCAACGACTATACTCTTTACTTGTAGTCATTTTTGCCAACGATATTTTTATGGAAGTTATATTCATGGTCTCGACATGTTGCAAGCCAGTATTAAAAGAGCGTCACCACATCATAAAATAGTGAATAGATAAAATAGAAAAAATATTTTGAATTTGTAATTTTTTTACGTATATTGCATTTAAAAAATTGCTGTCATTATCATTATTATATGTAACGTTTACATTTCGGGGCATCGGTTGCTTCAATAGTTACAACAAAGCAAAATAGACAGAGAGTCTGCTGGACAGCTTTCCAATCAATTAGGTGTTACAAAACTAGCGCTATAAAATTCGAGCGTAACTACTTACACGAAACTAAGCTGTAGTTTATGTTCAGAGAAACAATTTTGCTGATTCCGACACAATGGTCTCTCGTTCTGATCATAAGCCAAAACATTCTGACTCATTTAAGTCAATAGCGTAGCGAAGCGGAGTTTCAGGACATCCTGTAGCCGGAAGTCCAAATAAGGAGATAACTCACCTCCTGTTCATCCAATATCTATTTCAATTTTTATTACTTTAAATGTTATATACGTATAATTGCCGAGGCGAGAAGAAATAATGTAGTTGATATTTATTTTCAGTGTTATTAAAGAGTATTTTTTCATATCGGTTTAAGCGTTTGTATAAAGCGTCCTCTAGAGAAAAAAGAAATACTTTGTTGAAACGCATAAAAAAGGGAACAGCATGCGATGCTACGCCAATGTGACTGGTAGAATGCGCTCGTCGTTAAAAGCGGGCTCGAACGATTCTACGAATGCTTCGAAACCCGCGACCAACACACTTTTCAATGTTTCTCGTCGCATATTGGTAAGAGAATGCATTCTGAAAATTGCAATAACCAGACGGAAATCGTGAAAGGAGAAAGAAAGTTTAAACAAGTAATATGTATTTCAGTGAACATTTATGGGAAGATAATTTGAAATTTGCGCAAGTTTCTGCAACTGTTTTATGTCGTCAATTAATTTCTACGTACTAACGTGACATATCGGGATTCCTTCAAAAATAAAGTTACTTTGGAAGAATTTATTTCTGTTCCACTTTATTGACTGGAAATCAATCGAAACGAAAAGTCGAGAATAGGTCGCAATCGAAGGATCTTATTAAAATTTAATTCAAATGCCGAAAGCATAAAAATTAAACTTACAAATCTTAGAATTTTATCTGAAAAACAATGTATATTCATTGTTTATTGCCGCCATCCTTCTTTTTCTTTTCCTTTTTCTTCTCATTATTTCCTTTTTGTTTATTTCTTTTTCAATTTTCTTTTTGCCCATTCAGTCATCATATTGTATGTATATTTATTACAGTTGTTTTTTCTTTTTTCGCCACG